GTACTGATATATGCACGTCAGTATGCATGCATGTCATCCTAACATCGTGCCGTGTGCTCGTGCAATTCATGCTTGCGTCATTTGCATGAGCATAAATCATTATGCATGGCTGTTGGATTCTATCACCTCGGTGTTTTTCTCCAAGTCTAAACGCCTGCTCGTGCAGGACAAAACCAAAGCTTTCCAACGATACCAAGATCGCCTTATTCCGACCAAGATCGCCCAAGTTACAAGATTTCCGAGATTTGGGAATTCTATCTTGATTTGGGATATTTACTAAATTGGGCGATTATTGGGACACGATTATAAAGGGATCTTTGGTTGGGTGGTTAGGAAGGCAACTTTGTCTCTTGGATTGGGGTGGCTAGAAGTTTCTAGCATGGGCTGCAAATATTGCAACACCTAGGCAAAATTCAATTGGATTGGATTTTGCATGTGACACCTCAAGGGCCTCTTCATGAGGGTTGCATCTTTGATGCTAGGAAGGTTTCCACCATCCTTCGAAAGCATTTGGAGAGCCCTTCCCTCACAAGGTTCTCTTGAAACCCCCCAACTCCTCATTGTATGCATAATGTTCATTCTTCCTCCATTCTTTCTAGTGAAAGCAGCAGCTATATTTTTTCAGTTGGTTCTCACTCCCTAGAACATGAAATCAAGTGATTCAACTTCCAAATGGTAGGCAAAATTCAATTGGATTGGATTTTGCATGTAACACCTCAAGGGTCTCTTCATGAGGGTTGCATCTTTAATGCTAGAAAGGTTCCCACCATCCTTCGAAAGCATTTGGAGAGCCCTTCCCTCACAAGGTTCTCTTGAAACCCCCCAACTCCTCATTCTATGCCTAATGTTCGTTCTTCCTCCATTCTTTCTAGTGAAAGCAGCAGCTATATTTTTTCAGTTGGTTCTCACTCCCTAGAACATGAAATCAAGTGATTCAACTTCCAAATGGTAGCTAAGACCAGCGCGCGCAATCCTATCGAGCGGATTTGCGTTTAGTTGAGATTTGAGTTCGTCGTAAGTCTTCAAATTGACCGAATCCTATGCAACAAGTACTCCACGGCGTCATACATCACGCACGTCGTTAAGGGGCTCCCGAGCGGCTTCAACCTCATGCGCCGACTGCTGGTGGTACTGGGCATGCGGGAGTTGCTAAGCGATGATTCACTGATCTCGTACATCCCTAGGGACGAGGCGATGCAGGAGGCCGAGAGGTCCATGTAGCTCCTGCTGCAAGCAAACTACGTCGCCCCGACGAAGCAAGGAAGTCGACCGGGCCAGCACGGCAAGCAAGGCGGCGATGGTAGCTGAGGTGGGAAACCGCCCAAGGACGCCGACAAGGGGAAGTCGGCCAAGGACAGCGGTCGTGGAGGAGGAGGTCGAGCGGGAGTGTTGGCTCTGCGCCGACCCCGACCACTTCTCCTTTGAGTGTCCCGACCGCGACAACTCCGACAACGACCACACTATGGGAGGTCGAGGGAGGTCGGCCGATCGTCGTTGACGTTGGGAGAGCAAGTCGCGCAAGGAGAAGCAGTCGACCAAGTCGACATTGGCGAAGGACGCCGACTCCTCTGACGGCAAGGGGCGAGGCGACGGGGTGGCGTCGTGTTCGCTGGTCTGCGTCGTGGAGCCGACCGTCTCGCTGGCGCTGGAGGCCGGTGAGGACTTCCAGGCGGTGGCGGAGGCTGTGCAGGCAATTACAGCGGTGGTCCTGCGTGATAGTGGCTGCTCGCACCACCTGAGCGGCGACGTCAAGCACGTCCGTGGCTTCAGCGGGGCGATGCCGCTCGTCCAAGGCCACGGCACTGTCGCTCTGCAAGGAGAGGCCGGGAAGTAGGTGCTCGTCCCTGACGTCCTCTACGTCCCATGTGTGCACGCGAACCTGCTATCAGTCGGCAAACTACAGGAGAACGGAGTGCGACTACAGCAAGCAAGAACAATGATGGATCCAGTGTTATCTTCAGCATTGAAACACACCACCTACCATTGCCACTTGAATCATCAACGCCAATGACATCTACATCAAAAGACTGGGCGGGACGACCAGCCAGCACCATCTCTTCCTCTCCTACCCCGCGCTCCTTCCCATCTTCGTCATCCCTTCTTCTCAAATCCCTCCATCTTAACCTCATTGCTTCCCTCCTTCTCCCTCCTCCCCTCTCTCCTCCCTCCTATCCTCCCTCCTCCCCTGCACCCATCACCATACCAGCAGCCATCCCCTTCCTATCACACTATCCAACATACCTCTCCCTCTCTCCTTCTTCCCCTGCACCCTCTCCCCATAACCACATACGACTCCTCCCCATAACCACACAGGACTCCTCCCCATTCACGCCTCTTTATCTCTAGTCGACTCCCCCTCACTAGGAATTTCTCCTGATGTTGTTTACTCTGTTCATCTCCAATATTCCCCTCCGCCAGTCGTTTTGCGTGTACTTATCTACCTCTTTAATTAGAACAGAAAGAGCACGTTCTACGTCTTCATGCGTGGTAAACACGTGGGCGAGAGGAAATGGTAGACGTTGCATAACGTACACTAATTCAAATGCCTTCCAACAATCCCTCTATCCCGAATCCTTCTTACTGTTACCTTAGCACCTGTTTTTTGTGATCGCAGCAGAAATAGATATGCCTTGTCTAGGGAAACACCATAAATCCCCGACTTACCAATCTTTGAATGCGTCTGCAAGCCCCGCACACCTATCACCTTCCTTGCCTTGGTGTGCGCAGTCGGGTTGAGCGGCTGCAGAAAACTGTAAATGTAGTGCTTTCCTTCTCGATCAGCATTTGTTCTTTCTTTTGGAACTGAGGCCTTCTCCTTCTCTGTCTCCTCCTTCTTCCCTTTCCCCTTGCCCTTTCCCTTTTCCTCGCCTTTTCCTTTTCCCTTCCGAACCCCCTTTCCTTTCTTTCTTCCACCTCTCTCCTTAGCTCCCTTGCTTTGCGTCTCACTTTCAACTAGCTCTCCCACCTCTTCAACATCCGCTTCTTCCTCTTTTTCTTCTTCGCCCCCCTTTTCTGCATCAAATCCACCGCCCTGCTCCTCTCACCTTCCACTTTTCGCTCCACCACTTCCACATCCTCCTCCTCCTCGCATTCATCCACTGCCTCCCCTGCTGGTCCACCTTCTCCTCACCCTCCTTGTCTTCCCCTTCACCAACTTCTCCACTCCCCCTTGTCCCTCAACTCATAGTCCCCCGCTTTCTTGGAACAAAGTGGGAGGGACGGAGGGAGGGTTGGAAGAACGTTAGGATACGGAGGGTCGGAGGGAGGGTTGAAGGGAGGGAAGCTCGGAGGATGTGGAATTTGGGGGAAGTTCACGTGACAACGTATTGGAGGGTGGAGAGCTGGAGGAAGATACGAGAAGGGGGATTTTTGAGGGAAGGTTTGAGGGAGGGCAGAAGGGAGGGATCGAGGGAGGGTTGGTGGCAGAAAGGGCCAAATAGAGGGATGGAAAGAAGGTTGGAGGAAAGGTTGAAGTAGCGAGGATTGGAGGAGGGTTAGAAGGAGGATAGGTTGGAGAGGAAGGGGTACTTTTCCTCCCCGGCGCGGCCCCCGGCCTCCGCAGGCGGGCGTTCACTGGCTCTATGCCGGATCCTCTTCAAAACCTTGGCTTCGTTGCCTCACCAAACCCAACATTTTCTTGATTTTGGCAGTTGTGATTACACAGGGAGGAAATTTTCTTCCCTATCAATCCGGGCTTGCTCCTTATACAAAAGTACGTCCCTATATTTTGAAGAAGGTACATTCTCGAGGCAAAAAGTGGGAGAAAAACTTCGTCTTCCTGTGCAAGGTGAAGCAGCCTCGCTAGAAAAATGAACAATGATGACGGGATTAACCTTGGCTTAGCCAGGTGTTAGTCGTGCGCAGCACTCGTGGAGGCACAGAGCAGTGAGCTTTTGTTCGGACACACGAGTCCTTGCACCTAGCACTCCTAGTCCTACTAGTGCCGTTCACCATTACGGATAAATAGGGACCTAGCACGACCCTCGATTCTTCTAGTAGGTGTGGGTACGTTGCGTAGTGCTTGTACCAACGATTGAGATGAAAAAAGTGCACAACTACGGCGCTGGGGCCAGAAACAGCACAACTTTGCCAGCTATGTGGTGATTGTTTTCTGCTAGCAGTTCCCCAACCGATAGGCGGGAACTGGGGAGAGACGCGAAGGTTGTTGACGTGGTGTTAATCGGCGGCCCGCCAAGCCTGGAATACTGCTTTGTGTTCCTCGAGGCTCGGCACCAAACCACAAATGCTCAGGTTGGTGCTGTTTGAATCTGCATCTGATACACGCACTATTTGCAGGGGGGTTTGTAGCATCTATGCAGGAAAAATGCAGTCGCACATAGGCTTTGTGCGATGTCAATTTTTGGGTCCCATCTTTCGCATACGTGCAAACGCCGCAATGTAAAAATCAGAGTCATTTCAACACTTCCTTCTACGCGGGTCACAAAAACAAAATCTATACGGCGGGGAGCTAATCGCCAAAGCAGCACGGGCCGCTTCGAAAGTGGCCTATGTGGCAGCTTGGGGCCCAGCTTCGGCCGCACGTTTCAACTTCGGTGACCTGCCATAGTGGGCCTTGGTTGATAGGTAGATTGTTAAAGTACAATCAAATACTATTAATATCATGCGTGCTTGATATATCCATATGAGGTGTTTCGGATACAGGATCCAGATCCAGGGTTCAAGGTTTGGATATGTGTTCGCTTCACACGGATGCTGCACCCTTTGTAGAAGCAAAATAATACCCTCCTAAAAAAAGCATGCTCCTCCGTATTCTCTCTTTCAGCCCCACCCTCCTACTCTGCATCACCTCCATCAAATCATGCATCCGATATCTTTCATTTTCACGACCTACCGCAAACCCCAAACCGCGCCCCCTCGTGCCATCCACAACTCCCGTCATGCACACCGCCGTGTCGACTTTCTTGGTCTCGTCCCTGAAGTACCGTATGATGTTTGTTCGGACAAGCCTCCATCGTGAGGTTGTTGACAGTTCATAGCTGTCATTTCCATCCACCGCATCGTCGAGCGTCCAGCGATTTGCACATGCCACATCGATGGAGCACATCAGCCCTCTCCGACGCGGCCCCCGGCCGCCCGCCCACCGCTCCCCCGCCCCGCCCCGCGCCGCGGCCGCCGGCCCTCCCGGGAGCTGCCCTCGGCTTCCGCGGGCGGGCGGCTGCCGCTCCCCCGCCCCGCCCCGCGCCGCGGCCGCCGGCCCTCCTCGGCGCTGCCCCCCCCGCCTCTGCGGGCGGGCGGCCGCCGCTCTCCCGCCCCGCCCCGCTCCGCGCCCGCTGGCCCTTATCGGCTCACCCCCCGGCCTCCGCTGGCGGGCGGCCGCCACGCCTACACGCCCCGCAAATCGCAGCTTTGTGTATGCCATATTCGTCACAAAATAAAGATGTAAATTTGTCACCATGTAGTAAATATTCCGTCAACGTTGCCAAACTCCACATTGCGCACCTAAATTCATCACCTACATATGCGACTCAGCTTACAACAAAGTTACTGTACTCAATATCGCCAGAGAATTTTGGTTGTGGTATAACACATGTAATCACCATCTATTGTACGCAACGCTAAAGTCATAGTTTCCACCGTTGAATAAATAAACGAGAACACACAAGGAGGAAAACAACGTATAGAACAACAATAATCTAGAAATTATTAGATTCAAACGTTCATCGTTCTCAAATTTTACATAGCTTCATCACTTTTCTTTCATGTAGTAATAACATCGTCTCATTGTAAAAGGGTTGAGTACAATTTACCACACACGTGTATCATATACACACTAAACTGTACCACACTCTACTATACCTGGATGGTCCACGGGCGCCTCTCCACCATCTCTGGGCACTGGAAGTTCTTCGTATGACTATCAGAGACGAAGGATGAATCTTTTGGAAAATGCCGCATGTCAATGCTGCGCCTGTAGCCCACCAAGGTGATGCCCTGAAGGAGTGGGGAGGAGTAAGGAGGCGTGGGGATTGGTGATGAGGAGTGGCGGACGAGGGAAGGATAGACGGATAATGAGGATGAACTGTCGGATGTGGGCCGATAGACGAAGGATTAGGTGATTGAACCAGTCCTCGCATGTCCCTGTCTCCAGTTCTCACCTCCAGTCCTCACCTCCAATCCCCACCTCCAGTCCTCAGCTCGAGTCCTCACATCCAATCTCACCTCCAATCCTAGTGCTTCTCGTAGCCTGCGGCCGTTCCTAGTGCTTCTCTACTCATAGCCTCTTCGTGCCTCCACCCGCCGCATCCGCGAGACCACGTGTGCCTCACCACGGGCACGCCACCTCCACCTCGCGCTGCTCCTGTTGCATCTCGTCGCCTGCAGGCATGGGGCATGGGAGCCGCGCGCTGAAACACACCACGCGGAACAGAGGGGCATGCAAGGGCGAAGAGGAGCGGATGCAAGGAGGAGGGTGGAAAACGGAAAGGGATGGGATGAGAGAGGTGAGCCAAGAACATGGGAAGGCGGGTGACAGAGGGCCGAGCGTTCAGGACGATGGAAGCCGAAGCAGAAACAACGAGCACAAGCGACTCGAAAGGCATGACGACGAGCAGAACGACGACGGAGTTGAAACGCGTAGGACGAGCAGGAGGACGGAAGCAGATTTGCTGGTAGGTAAGGCGGATGATTGCAAGGCCGCCCGATGCGCTACAAGGCACAGCAGAAGACTGACCACGAGAGATCAAGCACAACATGTCACGCAAGCACAACAAAGGAGATGCGGTACTGCAGACGAAGAGCATCAACTTACCTCACACGCCGGACGAGCACAAGCGACGTGCACACAGAACGAGCACACGCGACGAGCACAAGCGGCATGCACAAGCGACGAGCAGCACCAGAAAGAGCAGCACGCGAAAGAAGCAAACGATGCTGCCGGTTTCCAGCACGGGAAAGAAGCAAACGGGGAAGTGCGGCAAGCGTGTGTCGGGGCGACGAAGTTGATGCTACAGAATTCCAGCGCCGCCATCTCTCCGCCTAGAGCATCTTCCCCGCCATGGGTCGTACGTTGCGAGCGTGCCATCTCGCCTAGTGGTGCTACGGGTTTCCATCGCCGCCATCTCCGTTGCACGCTTCTTCATCCTCCCCGCTGCCGCGTCCAACCCGTTGCCGTGGAACATGCGCGCCTTATTAATCGCCGTAATCGACGGCGATCCCAGCCGCAGCTGCAAAACTCGCCGCAAGTCCTGCGGCGCCGGCACGGCCGCATGATGTGGATCTGGCGCTCCCACGTGACTTAGGCCACCTTGTGATTTTGGTCTCATTCGTTTTTCAACCTAAGGGCGCATCATTCTCATATCATGTCCGCTCAATACCCATCTCGATGACCTAAGACAGATTTGACCGTTGCAAAACATGAAGCATCGAATTGAGCCGCATCAAAACGAACGAAAAGGACTCGCCCTAAATGTGGAATTACTGATTTTCACGGCCACTTCGTGAGGCAGAGCTGAGACTGGTTAGCCAGTCATGGTTCGGGCGTCTGCTAGATCCCATGAGGGTCCAATCGCTTGAGGATCACAAAAGACTCATTGAGGCTTTCATTCCATGAGGGCCCCATGAGGGTGGGTCGCATGACAGTCTTATCAGAGTCCCATGAAACTCGTATGGGAGTTCCATGAGACTCATATGGGAGTCCCATGGGACAAAAAATCAAGATACAGAATTGACTAATTCAAGACTCGAACCCTCGACCTTCAAATGTTACTCCTGCGTACCAACTAAGCTACGAAGGCATACGCTGTTTTACGCTTTAGAAAAATCCATTTAACAAAATTATAATAACCGAAGCATATCTTCGTAGCTAGGATGGGTGGTAGTGAATATTTGATTTGTAGATAAAGAGTTCGAGCCTTGCTCATTCTAATCTTCATCTGTTTTTGGGACCCACATGGGACCTTCATGTGACCATCATGTGACCTTCATGGGGTCCTCATTGGACCCGCATGGGACCTTCATGGGACCTTTCTGAGCTTTTTCTCTAGAAACCTCATTCATAAAGCCCTCATAAGATTTTGCTTTGAAATAATAACTGTTATTTGGCAATACAAGCGAAATTTCCAGCAATTCTCAATGTCGTAAAAAAAAAGTAGTAAATGCAAATTCTGTGTGAAGTGTATAATGTACCTATAATCTACTCGTATCAACTGTCAAATACCCTAAGCGCCCATTTTACAGATGGTCCATGCGTACCCTAAAAGAAAACTAAGATGCAACCATCCTGCACCGTTCAATCTCCGCTTTAAATATTGCGCATTGTAGGTCTAAGGTCACAAGAGCTTACCGTTTCTCCAAGTTCGAGTGTCCTCAATGTCTCCTTAGTAGGCAAAACATCAGGTGAGATATTGAGAAGCATAAAACTCTTTGAGTTTTTCTGGACCGATTTTTACAGTGCACTCACTGAAACAGACGCATGAGCATAATCTGTTTAGGCATAGTATTATGCGGAAGCGATTAACTCAGAACCACAAACATAAACTAGGCAACACTTAACATCACTTGTGAGCCAAGTGAGTAGTTATGCCAAGCTTAGCTTGTAAAATGAGCGTTCTGGTTGAGCAAAGTTTCGGCAGAAGTTCGTTGTGTATCTACTCTCGTCAATACGTAGTAGTAGATTGTAAGCTTGAAATCATGAAAGCATTATTGATGAAAGCAAATACAAGCACACATATAAGAGAGGTCCTAGGTACACAAAGGAAAACACACAAAACAGTTGTCTAACTGTCGTCCAGGTCTTCGCTTTGCTGTCATTGAAAAACGGTTGTAAAACTGCTTTAGAATTTGGCTTGATTTGCCGCAGTAGAATAACTATCTTCAACCTGCACTGCTGCCAAATTCTCCTACTGACTCTCCTCGCGAACATTCATGTTTACTCGTGTGCGATCATGAGCGCCCGTGTGAGATTCCCGTTTTTCGGTTACAAACGGATTTTACCGTTTTGTACCTCTGTCAAAATAATAACGCAAAGAAGCGCGACATTCTGGCGAATTTTTCTGCTCGCCGAGTCAGTGCGAAAATTCCGTTAGTCAACTGCGAGGTCTCGCGTGCCCCACGTGCCCCACGTGCCCCTCATCACGACCGAGATATTTCTCGGTCGTGCAGGACAAGACGATCGCTGACGCGATCGTGCGTTGTCCTGCGCGTGACGGAGCGATCATGTCGCTCCGTCATGTATCGATCGTGCGCACTGTGCACGATCGAAACAGTGCCGACACACGCGCATGTTCTGACGGGACACACGCGTGTGTCGGGACCCCACGCGCGGGTCCTGACATCGCGCACCTTTTGTTGACCTGCGCGAAATGGTCAACGGGGCTGGTCAAACAATCGAGCCCCAAAACCAAACACACTCGACACTCACAACAGCACTCATGAAAATAGCTCGACATTCATGAAACAAGGAACTTTCATGAACGCGCATGTTCGTCCATGAGAAAACATGAACGTACATGAACAGACATGAGCGAACATGACTCGTCATGATCCGTCATGACTGATCAGTTCCCACAACAAAAACACATGAAACGAAATACGAAAACGAATGCACACAGAACATACACAAAATGCATAAGGTCATGCAGGCGGCTGGTTGCAGTGCAAAAATAGTATTTTGCACCCAACATAATCAAGGAAACTGAAATGAAAATAGATTACTAACAAGCACATCGGTACCCGAAGAAAATTAGGCAGCTTCTTATTACGAAAGTGTGGTATTTCTCCTTTTACAATTAACTCTAGGACGTGCATCAGAGAGCTCAAGCCCTGGCTGATTCACTGAATATGAAATGGATGTAGAGAAATGCGCAATAGACATTTTAAGTATTCTATGTATGAAGAGAGGAAACACAAAGATCAGCATCTCCCAAAGAAAACTTGCTTTAAACCCTTCCCTCGTTGATCATTTGTGTTAGATCTCTTCAATCATTCACTTTCACGCCATGAGATTTGTGCTTATTGGCCTGAAAGGGATATGAACAACGTAAAATAACAAAACCCATAAAAACCAATCGTGCTTAGAAGTTAGGGCACGTGTTCCTGAGGTCGAGCTTTTGCCAAAGTTCGAAGTTCCAGAGTGGCTATGCACGGTGCGATCAAAATTAAAAGACGTTTTGTCACGGTACAATAAGGTACCAGGCTCGAACTTCGCCACTTTTTGAAAAAAACACGCGCCCTTAGAAGAATATGAGTCACATACTGAGTTGTTGTCATTTAGCCTGAGGGGAAACCACGTGACGACGTATCATTCATGTCCGTTGGTTTCACAGACCTGAAACCGAGAATATTAGATTAACCAATTGTTGCATCAGCAGTAACAAATAAAACACAAACAAGTTCAAATTCTTAACTCTTATTCTGAGCATAAACAAGAACCGAATATGCCTCCTCTATGTATGGCACAATGACGAGCATGAGTGCCAGCACGGTTGTGGTGTCATTAGTCTTGTTGTAAATAATCTCGTATTTCTTGTTGCACCTTGCTCCCGCACCCCTTGTCACCTTTGATTTCAGGGCATGTGCTAGGATTTATGGCATCCTGAACCCTCAAGAAAACTCCTGAAAACTCTAGAAAAAAATCTGATTTTTCATGGCAAAATTTCGTGGCTATCCTGAAAATTCAAGGCACCAGAAAAAATTCATCCTAATCTTTCAGGACAAAAGTGTTACAAGACACGAGAGCGGTGGAGGTGAAGGCACGAGAGGAGCGGGTTGTCTAGCAGCTTCTTTACACCTGGCCGCACAAAATCATTCGGGGGGAAACACAACCAGCTCACACTGTTCAAATGTATAGGTATACATTTATATACCTGCCTACAGTAGATCATAATGTAGTTATATTGCATGTAATGGTGGTGCACCTCCTTGTGCTTGCCTATATCTTGTATCTCCTTTCTCATAATGAATCCCCTTCTTTGGCCAAAACCTCTCGATACCCATCTCCTAGCTCCTAAGCCTAAGCCATGCCTCCTAAGCTTACATAGTTACTTTATCACACACACCTTCCTGCCTCTTTCCTCCCCTCTCTCCCTCCTCCCCCACTTCCCTCCCACCCCTTCTTCCCCTTCCAATGAGCCAGTGCATCCTTCGACATTCACCCTGACGCTTCAGGACAAGGCCTTCCTGAAATTTCAGGGGAGACCACATAACATTCTCCTGGTGTCATAGAGTAGGTTTTAGCATCATCCTGAAATTTAAGGGAAAACGCATAACATCATACTGAAATCAGGGCAATCATGGTGTTTTACCATGATGTTGAGGGCACTGTTTGAGATGGTGACGTTCTCATTGGAAAATTCTTCCAACAAGTCATAAAAGTTTTCTTTTTCAAAACATGCATGATAACATAATACCATACAGTTGAGTAGTTGCTTTGCACAACGCAAAGGAAAAAAATACATGCCTGAACAGAGTAGATCCAATGTATGGATGACTGATTGCGGATGACATTGAAGATTTGCTCCAAAGTTCTTGGAACAACGCCACCAATCGCTTCTTGCGAGGAATCTCCGTACATCGTATACATCTTTCATGATCCAGATTGACCGTACAAAAAAACTCATGCTTGAAATAAATTGGATATTGCGTTAGTAAGATAATCAATGACTGGCTAATGATGTACATTACAGTTGTTAACCACCTTGAACCCGTCGAGTGCACTTGTAACGAACTCAGAGAGCTCGAAATTTTCAGCAATTCTCAATGTCGTTAAAAAAAAAAAAAAAAAAAAAAAAAAATGCAAATTCTATGTGAAGTGTATAATGTACCTATAATCTACTCGATCAGCTGTCAATTACCCTAAGTGCTCATCTTACAGATGGTCCATGCGTACCCTAAAACAAAACTTCGATACAGCCATCCTGCACCGTTCACTCTCCTCTTGCGCATTGTAGGTCAAAGGTCACATGAGCTGACCGTTTCTCCAAGTTCGGGTGTCCTCAATGTCTCCTTAGTAGACAAAACATCAGGTGAGATATTGAGAAGCATAAGACTGTTTGAGTTTTTCTCGGTCGATTTCTACAATGCGCT